ATTGAACCAATCAAAACTCGAAGTAATTACATGTGGCTGACGCAAAGCGCGGGAAAATGCATGCGAGCGCGTCACAATTGGCTTTGGTTTTACTTCTGATTGGATGAAAAGGTGGCGCGAATCTTTTAAGCCAATCGCATCGTGTAGAAAGTGCAAAACCAATTACTTTTCGACACTCAAATGAAAACCGCTCTAAGACTGCCATTGTCTACGTGAAATCTGAGAGTGCGGGTACACGTGTTTTGGACCTCGGAATTAAAAAATTGCCAACAAAATTCTAGGTTGTCTACCATCCCCACATTCAACATGATAAAAGTTAATCAATATTACAATCGAGGAAAAATATCCAAAACATCGTAAAAAAGTCTGTGAATCCAAAAAAAATAATTGTTCACCTACCTTGAGAAACGTTCAAAATCTCGCCCACATAGCTTCGATTAAGAGAACAAACAAGCTACAAAATCCGCTGAAAAACGCTTCCAATGTGGCTTCCGATATGCAGCACACTTAAATACGTTATCTACAATTCATGAAAAGTCTTTGAAATATGCCTGGGGTCTCGAAACTTGGAACCCAGTTGTTTTGTTGATCGATCCGAAATTTTCCTGGAGAACAATAGCCCAATGACATGACAACTATCCTTAAATTTAGGGATATTCTGGACTGGTTTGTGGTATGAAAACCATGAAAAGGGGCAGACCATTCGAATCCAAGAGGCCAAAAGTGAGTTACAAGGTCACACCAGCAGCTGATGGGGATAGTGCCACTGACTCAGCTGATGACATTGAGGAGCAAGCAGCTGATGGGGATACTGCCACTGACTCAGTTGATGAGATGGAGGAGCAAGCAGCTGATGGGGATAGTGCCACTGACTCAACTAAGGAGACTGAGCAGCAAGTAGCTGATGAGGATAGTGCCACTGACTCAACTAAGGAGATTGAGGAGCAAGCAGCTGATTGGGATAGTGCCACTGACTCAACTGATGAGATCGAGAAGCAAGCAGCTGATGGGGATAGTGCCACTGACTCAGCTGATGAGATGGAGGAGCAAGCAGCTAATGGGGATACTGCCACTGACTCAGCTGATGAGATGGAGGAGCAAGCAGCTGATGAGGATAGTGCCACTGACTCAACTAAGGAGATTGAGGAGCAAGCAGCTAATGGGGATAGTGCAACTGACTCAGCTGATGAGATGGAGGAGCAAGCAGCTGATGGAGATAGTGCCACTGATGCAACTAAGGAGACTGAGCAGCAAGCAGCTGATGGGGATAGTGCCACTGATGCAACTAAGGAGACTGAGCAGCAAGCAGCTGATGGGGATAGTGCCACTGATGCAACTAAGGAGACTGAGCAGCAAGCAGCTGATGGGGATAGTACCACTGACTCAACTAAGGTGACTGAGGAGCAAACACTTCCACCTCGAGTATATATCATTTCCATTGACAGTCTAAGAGAGTGTTTCCACAGGATTCCAGAAGAAGACCTGAACACTGTATTCCTGGAACTTTGTTTCACAATTCCTTTGGACAAATTATTACACTTGCTCAGTAATAGAAAGGGCCTTCACATTATTTCAGAACTTGATTTGGCTAACTCTCTTTCAAACATTCCCCGTGATCTACAATCAGAAGTTGTATTTGACATTGTCCAACAACAGAAACAAGAGATAAAAGAGGATTGCCAGTCCTTTGCACAAATGTTCAAGAATCTGGACACTCTTCAAAGTTTCAACCCAGAGGAGTGGTTTTCCCACAGAAATTTTGTGCTGAAATCAGTTGTGAATGCCCTTGCTTCACATGAAAAGTCAAAGATGTTTAGCACTTGAACACTTGTACAACTTACAAGGTTTCAGTTTTGTTTCTCCATGTAGCTTTATGACTAATATTAGTCTCCTTGCAATAAGCAATTCCAAATTGACGGTGAACCTGTTCAGCAAAGCTCTTCCAGGTGGGTCATACACAACTCTCAAATCATGGACAAGAGACCTTGCATCAGAGCCAATGGCATTTCCGTCTGGAGACTGTATGGTAGCAATAGACAATGATCAAATAGTGCGGAGGAAGTGGAAGGTTAAAGTCGGACAAAAATCAAGAGTGAGTGTGGTGACTAGTGTTTGCCAGGCAGAAGTTAACCCTGAGGGAACCTCACAGAAGAGGGGTGACCTTGCTCCAAGGTAATGAATGCATTCTTTAAGTGTTCATTGGGAGAACAGTGCCTGTATCTTGTGTATTACAGTTAAACCTCTATTATTAGAAGGGATTGCTGTCACCATGGTCACAGTAATTTTGCTGATTTTTTTTCACTTCTGTATTAAAAATACTACTTATGTGTTTGCTCATTAGACATGCATATACAAAGAATGTTCCCAAAGAACTTAGAGGGAGAAATAAAAATAACTTTAGCGGGGGGAGCAAACCATAATTAATTTGTGGAAATTTTGGTTTATGATTTTGAAACAAAAACAGTTATTTTCAGTTTCATCCCTTTCCATCCATGCCAGTTTCAGTGCAGTACAATTTGACAAGAAAACTAGAACATTATTAGTCACTTTAAACATGGAGTTCATGAAGCTCAGGTAAGTGTATACCTGTACCACTTCAATTTTTTTTGATTGTGAATATATATGTAGGATATGTATGTGTACAGTAACCCCCTCCCCCACTCCCACCACACTTTTAAGCCCACCCAGTAGGAGGGCTATCAGTATGGCGAAAAAGCATTAATTATAATACAGTTATACGGCCCGTTTTTGATATAAGAAGGATTAACAGCTACTCAATGTATATGACTTTGTAGAAGTTGGTTTAATGGCTTGGAGAAAGCAAAGGAAGATGAATCATTACAAAAACATCTACAGAAAGGCATTCAGTATACAGATGAGATGCAGGAATTACTACGGAAAGAGGTAGATTACTATTTTACTGTGTGCCTGTGGTTGCAGGAAAATACCCATACCCACCCCTTAGAGGGCCTTGCAACTTTACTACAGAACTGTGCTTACGTTCTTTGACAGATATGCCTTCACTTGCTAAAAACAGTACAAGTAGATCCAAAGAAAAGTGCATGTTCCTCTAAATAGCTGCCAAAGAGAGATTAAAAGCTAATTTGATAAAAAGTTTACCTACATGTAACCGTGGTTATAAGACTTATACTTAGTATAATGTGAGCAATACTCATAATCTTGTCACTCTTTTTGTTGTTAGAATAAACTTTTAATTCAAGAATACATCCGCGAGGTTGTTTTAGAGCAGAATATTGACAGTGAGTCCTGTGAAGATGATGTGGATGTGCGAGTAAAGGAAATTCAACTCCGGGAAAATAGTAGAGTCTGTCCAAATTGTAGTACTGTTATGTCAAAGCAGAAACGAAAATGTGTTAACAAAGAGTGCAGAGTGGATCTAAAAGCAGCAGAAAAAAAATTAACCGGTGAAGACATACTTGGTACAGCCCTAGTAGAGCCACTAAGACAGTACAACTATAAGTTCAGAGAACATGAAGTGGTTATGAGGGTTGAAAAGTGCACAGAAGACCAGGCTATCCACCAGGAAATAAACACAGTTCATGAAGAGATGATAGTCGAATGGGCTCATGTTACCTCAAATCATTCCCCAAATGGTGTTAAAATTTCAGTGTCTGACCCAGTATTTGTTAATCCAAACTCTGTGAACACAGTCACTGAAGTCCTCCGTTGTGTTGGCCATACAGCATGCATAACCCGTTACGGATTTACTGGCAACAATTCAAGAGAATGGCTTAGTGTAACTATGGACGGCCTTCCTTTTCTTGTTACTGTGAACATCATTGAACAGACATTCATCTGCCTTGCTTGTGCCAAAAAAGATGCTGCAAGTGCTGATGTTGTCTCCTTTTATGGGAAGGAATGGGATGACCATTTGAAGGCTTGTCACCATGGAGACAACAGCATTGAACGTGCCAAAGAATTCGATTGGGTTGTGCTGCGCATTGGCTCACTACATATGGAGATGAACATGGTGAAGTCTCTATTTTCTGTCAATTGGGAAGTATTCATTTGCAGTTTAGCAAAGGAACTGGGTTTCAAAAGCGAAAGTGCACTGAACTATGCCAGGAGTGCCAAGAACCATCACCACGCTATGACAATGCTCAACATCTTGCAGAAAGGAAACTGGAAGGAACTCTTGACACCCTATGTCCGTGACAGAATCCGCAACAATTTACCGTTGTCAGTAAATGATTACCTGTACACATGGATGCCAACTGTACGTAACAGCAATTACCTGTACCTGTTTGAGCAGTCTTGGTTGTACATTGGGTCAATTCACCTTTACCACATTGGTGTTAGATGGAATAACAGTGATTATGTAAACAGTAGCCAGACTGGATTCGCTCCTATGTTCAGTTTTAAACCTTTTACGTCAAAATATCAACTGATTGAGTTACATGACAGGTTTGTGTTCGGCTGCATTTTTAGCTTTCTATCAATCATTCGATAGTTAAAGTTACAATAAATGACCCCTGCCTCCACATGTTAACCCTTAAAGTTTCTCCTTACAATATCAATTCATGAATCAAGAAAGAAGGTAAGGAGAATCAACAACATGATCACCATACTGACATTTGCTATGATCTTTAACAAATTCTCCCAATTAGTATCATAATAAAATTCAGGAAGCAAATTTTGACATCAAAAGAGTTGACAATTGAAAGTCAGACCCATATAAGGTGGTCACCCTTGGATTTAGCAGTATTAAACTGACTGCTATTTAAACAGAAATAAATGCATACAGGAGGGCAAGTTTACGGGTGAGAATTTGGAGCAATTTCTGGAAATTTCATGTGTTACTGCTTAAATTATAGAGATTTCAATTTCTAAATCACTTAATTGAGTGTTTACAGGCATACTGAGCAGAACTTGGATAGTGAATGTTTGGTTAATATTATAGGCCAAACTTAGAATAATATTTTTCTACCTTTTATAGACAGATACATACTGCCAAATCATTTAATGTACAAATCATTACTTCAATTCTTAACATTTTTCTTTACTCTTTTTTTAGGACTGCCCGCACTCTTTACCCCCAAGACTTAAAACAGTTTGTCATGGAGTACGAGGCTGTCAGCACAAGTGGGAACCCATCAAAAGGAGAAGGTCTAGATGCCCAACTGGAGGAAATTAACAAAGAGTCGAAGTGCTGGGAGAATGGAGTGATGAATGCTAGAGATTGGCTGACCATCTTTAGAAATCATGATCAACTAACTAAGGCAAGTTTTAAATAATAATATTATTTTATCTAACCCTTTAAGCCTCAATAGTGACCAGTAGTTATTTTTCCATAGCATCAAAACTATACATAATAAAACATGTAGGCCTTGAGAATATATTGAAAAGTGATCACCAAACATGTCACACAGTCATGTATTTGATGCTGTGTAAGACCCCCTTATTACCAGTTATTTTTAGCATACTGTTTTATGGTTCCACATGTCTCATTTATTTCTGATTACAGTTGCGGAAGATTACTTTTTCCTGGTTTGGCACTCAAGACCCAAAAGATGAAGCAGAAATTTCCAGATACAGGGATGACCTAGACAAGGAGGTTCTGGCTTGGCGTGTAAAGCTACGCAGAGAAAGGTAATTAACACTGATTCCTTTTCATTATTTATTTTTGCATTTGAGTACAATATACTTAAGCAATAGACCACACTTTCTAGGGGTTTACTGGCATGATAACCCACTTGGGATGTTGGGAGAACACCAGAAAAGCTTGTAAATCACAAGCTTTTATAAAACAACGTTAAAGCATGTTCAGTTTTCTATGAGTTTACCGGCACAATAAACCATAGGTTTCCAACCAATCAGAATGCTTGTACTATCTTAGTTGTTACAAGGTACAGCATACTCCAAACACCATTTCCATACACTAGCAGTACCTCATCTCCCTCATTACTAAATTGCTCCTTCAAAAATGTTCACTTTGTCTACAGGTACTTGACCGAGCCATTTGATGAGAGAGCTCACGTTTCTGTTGATGGCATGACTCTGGACAAAAGTCTTGTAAACCTTACTGAAGTTTGCACTTCCAACAGAGAGGCTGTGTTTAAAGGGGTTTTCCTACATGGCAAGCAAAGGGTAGATCTTCCATTGAAGACATTATATGTCACACCCCAAGAGAGAGAGTCTGCTTCAGAACTGAAGAACATAAAGAAAGCAGATCTTGTCAAAATGATTGAAGAGCTTCTTTTGAGTTTGAATGATGAATCATTGGTAGACTTCTACAGAGAAAAACTGGCACACATTCAAAAGAGGTTGGCATCTACAAAGAAGGAGGTCATCATCGCCCTATATGAAGAAATCAACCAGAAGTTCATGTCTGAAGATGACATTCAAGAGTATTTTTTTTTTTTAATTTATTTTTTGCCTTACAGACATATATTAAATGTTTACAGTACTAAACACTACTGAAACTAAATACTACTAACAATATTCACTATACTTGCACTATTGACAATATTGGCTATACTGACAATACCATCCATACGATGCTCGTACTACTAATAATTACAATGGTTACACTACTTACAATTCTAGTACATCACACGCACACACACACCCACATAAACACACACACACAAAAAAAAAAAAAATAGTTAGTAGGTCAGAGGAGTTATTTTTCATGTCTATTTTATAGCTTTTCAATTCTGTATTTAATTATCATTTTACCAACGAAGTCTTGGAGGAGAATTGGTTTGTTGTGTAGTTTGTTGGCGTAGATGTAGTATCTCATAAACAACATGGTATAATTGAATTTCCTTACTAGTACCTTTTCATGTAAGTCCGAGAGGATGCCGAACAGTCTTTCTTCGCTAGATGGGTTGAAATTGATCTTGTTTTCTATATTGAACCAGTTGATAACCCGTTGAATGAAAATCTTGACGAAATGACAATCTCTAAAAGTATGATTAATAGAGTCTTTTTCACCACAATATATACATTCATCATCTTCCTTGATTCCATAGCGGTAAAGTTCCTTTTTGGTGACTACAATTCGGTGGATTAATTTATATTGAAATTCCTTTAATTTGGTCTCTCTACAGACGGTTTTTAGGGAGGTGAATATTTTTTCCCATTTATCTTCATCCAAGGAAAGATCTTTGCTCCATCTCTGTGGCCCAGAATGACCTGTTGTGTGGATTTTTGTGCATAATAACGTATAGAAGTCGCTAGTCTTGATTTTGTTCAGATATAGAGTTATCGATTCATTTAATTGTAGACTAAGATTATTATCAGAATATAACTCTTTATTAATTGGCTTCGTTGATTTTGCTTTGGCTAATAGGTGCTTTGGGATAGCGCTAATAACTTGATAGTATTGAAGGAAGTTAGTTTTACAGGAATACTTATTCGTAAATTCCTGGTAGGTCATTGGTTGACCGGTATTGTGTAAGAGATCTTGTATTGACAGGATACCTTTTTTAAACCATTCCCTGATAAAAAAGGTTTTACTGTCAACAAGTATTTCTTTGTTGTTGAATAGAATTATATTTTGTGCTTGATCAAAGCTGTACAGAGTTTTTAATTCACTGAAGTATACTAGAATATTTCGGTAAAACAATGGAATAGATTTTATGTATTTCGCATCGTAGTTACATCTCAGTAAAAAGTTCAAACCTCCGAATTTTCTTAGGTAATAATCAGGAACTGTTTTCCAATTCTGGTTCCCTGAAGTCAGTAATCTTGGAATCCAGGCTAGTTTTAGAGCTTTAAACATTATGTCGATGTCTACCATACGTATTCCGCCTCTTCCCAGATCCTGATAGAGCCCAGTTCGTTTGATTTTATCCCTTTTGTTTTTCCATAAGAAACTAAAAAGCTTTGTTTTCACTGTGCTTGCGATATCTTCAGGAACATTAAGAATTGAAGCTGAATAAATTAATTGTGACAATCCTAGGGACTTAATTATCAGTACCTTCCCAAATAGTGTGAGGTCTCTAGATCTCCACATATCCAGCTTTGTTTGAAGTTTTCGTATTTTCAGATTAAAGTTCAATTCATTGTTACCCTTCTCATCATAAGAGACATGAATTCCTAAGAGGCGAACCGGACTATGTAACCATTTTAGTTGTAAAGGATAACTTTTGTTTTTTTCCCATTTTCCCAACCAAATTGCTTTCGATTTCTTTATGTTTAACTTGAGACCCGCTAGCCTCCCAAAATCTCCCACCGTTTTCAAAGCATTTTCAACGGAGATCAAATCTGCACAGAAAAGGTTTGTGTCGTCTGCGAATTGGCTCAATTTGATTTCGTGCCCGAATATTTTGATTCCTGTTATACTTGGTTCTTGTCTGATTTTGCTGGATAATATCTCCGTGGAAAGCACAAATAAGTACGGAGAAAGGGGACACCCCTGTCGCACTCCTCTTGACGGTCTAAACCAGTTGGTCATGAAACCATTGTTTATCGCCGCGCTCTCAATTTTTGTATAGAATGTACTGATCCATCTTTTTATACTTGTTCCGAAATTGAATATATCCAGTGCTTTCATCATGAACGACCATTCTAGAGAATCAAAAGCTTTCCGAAAATCTAGAGATACTAGAATGCCAGGTATGCTTTCTGACTTCGTATGTTCCATTATGTCGATTATTAGCCTAATATTTTCCCCGATATATCTTCCTTTGATAAAACCGGTTTGATCAGTGTGCACTAGATTTGGTAATAATGGTTCTATTCTCCTTGCTATTGCCTTAGTTGCTATCTTGCAATCAACATTTAGCAGTGTTACCGGTCTCCAGTTTGAAAGTTCTAGTAGCGAGCCATCTTCTTTGGGAATTAAAGTAATAACGCCTCTTCGTTGTGAAATGGTGAGTTCATTTGCATCATAGGCCGCATTGAAACTAGCAACAAGATCGTGTCCTAGCAGATCGAAAAAAAACATATAAAATTCAACCGTGAAACCATCTTCTCCTGGAGCTTTGTTGTTTTGAAAAGTGTCTAAAGCTTTTTTGCATTCTTCATAAGATAATGGACCTTCTATTCTATCTCTGTCTGCATCTGATAGTTTTGGAATTTTTAAATGTTCGGTGAATTCATCAACATTATTTTCCTGTGAATTATTTGCTGATGCGTACAATTCGCTATAATAGTTTTCGATAGCTTCTAATATCTGAGACTCGTTGTTTGTTACTGTTTCACTTTCTGTTCGCAGTTCAGTGATGGTTTTCCTGTTGTAGTTTCTTTTCTCCAGATTGAAAAAGTACTTTGTTGGACGTTCGCCCTTTTCGACCCAGCGACATTTCGATCTAAAAATAGCTGCCCTCCCTTTCTCCTCGTAAATAGATTGGAGTTCCATTTTGAGATCTTCATATTCATTTAGGATGTGCGCGATATTGGGAGAGTTAAAGTTGTCGCAAATATTGCGGTCCAGAATTTCGAGCTGTCTCCTAATTTCCAATTCTCTATTAGTGGTCGCTTTAGCTTTCTTTTTACTATAAGCAATGGTTGCCGCTCTGGTTTCCATTTTTAACATTTCCCAAAGAAGGCGTGCGTCTGCCAAATTGGAGTAAAAAGCGCGTGTGCGGGAGTACGTTTCACGGATTTTGGACACATAATGTTCATCTTTCAGTAACGTGTTGTTGAATTTCCAAAGTCCGGGTCCTCTAGACTTTTCAGTTGTCCAAGACAAAGAAATGTAAATTGCTCGGTGATCCGGTGCTATAGAAGGATAAATTTCGCTTTTCTTCACATGTTGTGTCAGATTTTTGGCAACTAGGAAAAAGTCTATTCTGGATTTCAGTTTTAACACTTTTGATTCATAAGAGTATTTACGTAGCCTCGGGTGACGTAATCTTTGAATATCTACGAGATCGAAAGCGTCCATAGTTGTCAAAATCAGGTTTCGATAATTTGTTGGTTTCCAAATTGTGCCACCAATTTTATCTATCTTTGATAGTGTGCAATTCCAGTCGCCTCCTACAATAAGCGTGGAAATTTCTGACTTGTCGATAAGGCAATTGTTTAAGTTTTGTAAGAAATCTAATTGTTCACTTTGGCTATTCGGGGCATAAATATTCACCAGTGATAATTTTAGAGAATTCAGAACACAAGTAATTAGCACGATTCTTCCAGCCTTGTCACTGAATGAGTAATCGATCTTATTTTGTACCGTAGGGTGTAAAAGAATGCAAACACCTTTACTATGCCTGGATCCGTGAGAGAAAAATATTTCACCTCCCCATTCGTTTTTCCAAATAATTTCATCTTCTGGTTGAGAGTAAGTTTCTTGCAAGAAATAAATTTTTGAGTTATGATCTTTGAGATATAGAAAAATGCTCCTCCGTTTGGCTTGATCTCTTATTCCCCTTACGTTTAGAGAAAGTATATCGTATTTTGCTTTCTCTTGCATTACAATAAAAAACAAAAAAAAAACAAGAAGAATATATATGCAAATTTAAAAAAAAAAAAAAAAAAAAAAAAATAAAGAAATTAAAAAAAAAAAAAAAAAAAAAATACAGAAGCAAACAAAACTAAAATTATACAAAACGTAAATTAAAGTAGTTTTTGAGCGTTTCCCTTCTTCTTCTCCGAACTTTGCGTTTTTTGTTCCTGTCCCAAATGTAAGTTACAGTTTTTGTCTTCCTTGGCCAGACGATTGGACATTTAAAGATAATCTAAGTCTTCCAGCTCGTTAATTCTGACCGGCTTACCCTGCGGAGAGGTCTTGACATATATTGATCCATCCATTGACCAGACACTCAACAATTCATCATTTCTCCGCATCTCGTTTGCCCGATTCATTCAAGAGTATAATAAAGAAGTCGAATTGGAAGATCCTTAAAAGAAGGGCTTCACAGTTCAGCGCATGTGCACACTATGTCATAAGTGCATTTAGTTCCATTGTTTAGAGCAACTAGAAGCAAGTACATAACAACAGCAGGAAATTTGCCTGTGAAAATGCCATGGTCAGTCAAACGGTTGATTTGACAGTTAAAATATGTTGTGGTTCAATTTTATCCTTTGGCCTTGGTTTAAATTTCATTCCCCTTTGTATGGGTATGTCAACGTATGATAATCAATTTAAAACAAAGGTACATAAAATTTGAACCAAGGATAAAACCGAACCACAATTTAAATTATAACCAGGAACCAATAAACATTGGCGATTAACTGTTTAATGTGGGATGTATCTGACAAGCATTTTACAAATGTTTTATAACATACTTCTTTGAAACAAGGAATGGTAACTTTTCACCAAAACAGAACAATAAAACTTTTCAAAAATTTACGTACTGAGAAGCAAAGGCTAGTTCTTTTCCGTGTGAAGGAAGGTTTTGATCAAGTGAACTTCAGTATGAAAATAATAC